CCAGGGAATCGTTCAGCAGAAATGGAGGGCAGATTTGTAATCAGCGTTCAAGGGCCCACCGGGCAGTATACATCTCATTTCGAATGGCCACTTCGACCAACCATCCTTTCCTTGTTAGCTTGCGTGGAAGCGATGGAATGTATGAGGTTTCAGTGGTCATAGAACTCCATGCAAACGGAAGAGTGCGGAGAAAAACATGACTAAGTGGACTGAGTTTAGAGAGAAAGTGTGCATTCAACTCCAAGACTGTCCCGAGCTTCATAAAATGGTAGCAGGTTTCATCACGTCTTTTCCTTTGCCATAAAGGATTAACGATCCTACCCATGTGCTCTTTTCTCATTTTGTGACAGCGCCACTCAAAGATTAGATTTCAGTATGATATGCCTGGATGTCCAACGTTGCCTCATCGACTTGTCGCAATCTGCGATATTTCTGCGGATCCGGGAGGTTCAATCGAGTTCATGACAGAATGCACTACAATCGACAAGCCTTTCATGATCTATGATGCCGATTTCCATACTAGCAGTGACAGGTATGTTACCAGTTGGACTAGGGGACGTGCAGGATATTTGTCCGACGGCAGCGCCAGTGGGCGTGGCGCGCGCACCCGCGAGTGTGTATGTATGCTGCGGAGGAGGGAAAAACTCACCCGGGCTCGTATGCGGCGCGGTTTCGACGTCAGCGCGGCGGCAGGGCGGGGCGAAGGGCGATGGCCTCCGCCACTGTGCTCAGATCACTAGCCGCTTTTATGTGGAAGGAAAAAGAGAGAAAAGAGGATTGATTTAAACAAATGGGATGACATAGGAGTGAGTTGTCACATAGAATGCTTGAGTTATGGTGAGTGTCAACTCAAAAGGGTGGCCCCTACGGTAAAATAGGGAACCGGCAACTGCCGCGGTAACCAGAAGAGCGAATCCCGTCCGGTGTCCGACTTTGCCATAAACCCCTCCAGCAATTCTTTCTGTGACTACCCTGCGCTAATCCGGCGCACCGCTGCGCCGCCCTAACAAGTTATCTAACAATAACAGCATATAGGTGAAGTTAGTGGTAGTGGTGAGAGAATACAGAAAAGTCGACTATCATGACGAATTACTTCAGTAAACGGCAAATTGGTGAAATAGTTCCCTTCGATTATGGGAACGACGCAAACGTTATACCGTTATAAGGTCACAACTGTTGGCAATCTGCCAAACAACGTTTGCGTAAGAGCTGCTTGCGTCGTTTTTACAAGTAATTCGCCCTGATAGTCGACTTTTCTGTATTCTCTCACCACTACCACTAACTCACCTGTAAGCATCCACTATCTGTTCACTCATTTTCTCTCTTCTTTTCTCTCTTTCTCCTTCCACATAGAGGCGGCTTATTGGAGCACAGTGGGGAGGCCATCGCCTTTCGCTTCGCCCTGCCGCCGCGATGAGGTCAACGATAGCTCGGACTTCACTGCGCTTTCGTGTGCGGCTCCCGCAGGATTGTCTTGGTACACATTCAGTTGGATTAGAGACATTCTTTGGAAGTTCCATCCGAAGCTTATTGAGATCGCTGGTTTGTTACGTTCGAGAACAACTACGTCAGCAATGTACAACATCTAAATAGATACTAAACGAGAGATGCCGGTTGGTCAGATCCGCTACCTGTAAAAAATAAGTAGATAGCTAGTCTAGCTAGTAGTGCAACGTGTTGGTGGGATGACCTGTCAAACTGTGTTCATACTTCGCAATTTGCTCGCTCTGTTCGCATAAGATCGCTCATCGGCCGCCAACTGTTCCCTAGCACCGGCAGCTCGCGTGATTAGAGCGACCCAGTCGCGAAGCATAAACGCACTCATAAGACAATTTAATAACGGGGAAACCGAATTCTACGCTTGTATGTATATATTTTCATTGAAATCTCGGGACACGTCATAAACGTGTCATGTGACGTCAATGACACGCTTCTACCCCCAATAGGTGAAGTACCGGTTAGTGTACCTGTGCTACACCAGCACCGACCATAGTGCCACTTTGCCGGCATTGGTTGCGCATATTCATGATTTTATCCTGGAAGTAGTCAGTAGGAACATAAT